GTGGGGACCCCTGTGGCAGGACAGGGCTGTATCTAGCAGGGCCTCGGTCTTGAGACACCCCGTCACTTGTATTCTCGGCCAGCAGGGCCCCAGGGGCTCCACCCCTCTGGCAGCGTTTGAGGGAGCTGCTGGTAGAGGTGCAGGTGGGGCTGGGGTGGCTCTCCTGTCAGGCCCTTGATTGCCCGGCAGGTTACTAGGGGGCTGGGATTTCAGGGGTGCTGCAGGCTGCGCCCTGCCTCCCTCTAGGGGGCTCTGAGTGACCAGCAGCTGAGAGGGCCCATCTACTAAAACATTCAAAGTTGAGATCCAAGTGCTTGAGACCCAGTGAATGTGGGGTGGAGACCTGCCAAACTGTGGTAAATAAACATCGCCTTGCCTCCCTCCAGGGGGCTCTGAGTGACCAGCAGCTGAGAGGGCCCATCTACTAAAACATTCAAAGTTGAGATCCAAGTGCTTGAGACCTAGTGAATGTGGGGTGGAGACCTGCCAAACTGTGGTAAATAAACATAATCTTGGACATAACGTGGGCTGTATGATGATGGTGTGAATGGGGGCCTCTAAAAGCTGCTGGGTTAGGAAGCATTATTATTTCTGAGTGCTATCGGAGCGTGGCATTCATCTGAAATAGGCGTTCTCAGCCGACTAGGACACTCTGTTCACAACAGCTGGTCTTTGACCCTCTTGGCTCGAGGCTGCCAGGTTGACCTTGGTCCGTATTTGAGTTTGGGGGACTTAAAGGGAGATTCATTGGGTGTCGGATGACTCTCTTGTCAGTTATCCAGGACCCAGTGCAAGGGTGGCAGGTGCTGGTCAGAGGGCTATGTCCTCTGGAAGAGAGGTGAAAGTTACCAGCCATGTGTGTTTGTTTTGGGCTGCCTGGCCACTAACTCTGTTGGGGATGAATTGCTGCTTAGGTGATCACCCTGCACAAATTTCCCTGCAGCTTTATTTAGATACAACATACTTTGTCCCTCATTTGTCCTACATTTACTTACATGGCTGTTAAACAGCCACCATGCTTCACCCCGGCATTTCAGTGGATGAACTGATTTCTGTTGTAGGCATGGGTGCGGGTGGCTTGCTTTATATTGCCCTAGGGCCCAGAGACTAACCAACCTGAGCTCCGTTGTGCTAGATGCTGTATATAAAACATGGCAGACTCCACCCCACAAAGCTTATAACCTAAAAGCCAAGGCATAAAGCAGGGAACCTTTTTGGGGGAACCTTTTTTGGGTCGGGGACCACTGACCCCCAGAAAAATCAGTCAGAGGCCCCGCACAAGTGAAAAGCAAAGTCAGAAACCCCTCACTGAGAAGGAGAAAGACATTCTCCGCATTCCCCATGCACACCAGAGCCTAAAGGGGCCCAGGCTAGTAGATTTTGTGTGCTCCGGCCCTGTTAGGAGTAGGCTCAGCACCTACTATGTCCCAATGCTGAGCATCGGGGGCCAGAACTAGGCAAGCTGGGGGCCGGATCTAGGCAAGGGCCCACAGGCCTGAGGTTCCCCACCCCTGGCATAAAGCGTGGATGAAACAAACAATTTTTGGTGGGGAAAGAAGGTAACAAATAATAAGATGTGGGTAATTTTTAGCCAGGAGCAGAATCTGTGAATCCTTAAAGGGACACTGTCACACTAAGGAAAAGTACTACAAAGTTTTCTCAACTATGTCATAACATCTCGGATCACTAACACTGAATGAATGCTAAGAATGTTGAGCCCAGTTTTGCACAGCCTTAGTGTTTTGTGGCTTTATGCATAGCCATTCTTCCACTGAGTAAGAAGTCAGTGGTGCAGCTAAACTTGCTTTCAGGGGTGGTGCCAATCTCCTAATTCTTTGTGCTCCTTGTTGGTAAAGGTTGGACTTCCCTGGTCCGGCACCCTCAGAACCAGACTGGTCCTGCATGAGGGAATTTGCAAGACCAGCCCCATAACCCCTGCCGGGCTGCCACAGCCCCATAACCCCTGCCGGGCTGCCACAGCCCCATAACCCCTGCCGGGCTGCCGCAGCCCCAGCCCTCCTGCCGGATTGCTGCGATGTGGCGATACTGTCTCCTTTACCACGCTGCTGTGTTGCTACACTGTAGCTCCTCAGGTAGGCTGCTGCTGCCTCAACCTTGGCTCCTCTGCCAGGCTATTGGGCTGCCATGGTCCCCCCTCACTTGCCAGGCTGCTGCCAGCCCCACTGGGCTCCCAGGGGTCCCAGCTGCTAGCTCTCCTGCTGCCCAGCTCCCAGCCACTGGGGCTCTCTGGCCCTGGGATCATCCTTGGCCCTCAAGGGATACCATCCGGCTTGTTTGAATATTGATGCAATCTAGCCAAGTGCTCTTCTGGTTCACAGCGAGTTTTTGACCAGTTTTCTTTGAGATTTTTCTGGTGCCAGCCTTGTGCTGCACAGCTTGGTTCTCATAGAAATAATTTTAATTGAATTTTAAAAATTTCATTAGCTCTTTATATTAATTTTGAAACAATCTTTCAGGCCATCGAAACCTGCAGCTAAATTTAACCAGATTGAGTCCCTTTAACTGTCCCTCACCTAGGTGCCTCGTGTCAGTTCATCAACGTGAGCCCTGGAGGGAGGGGGAACTTGCCCCACAAAGCTGGATCTTCAGGGATCACGGCTATGCTGCCATGCTGCGTGTGCATAAATTAAAGTACCACGCATAGGCTGAGAACTGGAGGGTCCTCTCCCTCTGCCCTTCTCTCCTGCAACGTTAGAATTGGAATGATCGTGCTGGGAGGACAGTGGCTGGCAAATCCATGAACTACCTGAGGCCTCATGAGGTGTGGAGACAACATTTGGGAGCGAGCCTCCAAACCTGGACCAACAGACTCCGGCTATCCGGACTCTAGTGCTCAAAGCGGTATCTATGCAGCTGTTTTTAGAGCATTAGCATGAATCCTGCTATGCCAAGACCATCAAAGGAGAGGCTGGAAAGCTGGCTACAAAATGCTGGGTTGACAGACCCGTAGGCTTCTGAGATGCTCATGGTGCATTTTCTCCTTATCACCAGGTACATGACTTCCCTTGGATTGGCTGTCGTGGCTTCCTGGTGGGCTTGGTGTAACCTCTTTTGTCTCCATCTCCTGTGGGGCCTGCATGGTTCTACCCACTCAAGCGAACACTCCCTGCTTCTGTTTTTAAGGTGCACTTGGTGATTTTGAGAAGACCAAGCCAGTCCCGCCACCGCCCCCTGCTGCTGGAGCTGGGGATGTCTGCAGCTCTGAGATGTCGCCTGGTGATGCAACCCAAGTACGAAAAGTCCACCTGCGTGCAGGGCAGAGGGGGTTTGAGGAGCAGTTTTCCTTGCTTTACAGATCTGGTAGAGTTCCTTGCTCTTGTAGGCTGGGCTCTTGTTTGAGGATTCTTGGCCTGCTCCCCATCAAGCCTTCCTCCCCAATGTGGTGGCCTGTCAGGGTTGTGGCTTTAACTGCTGAGGGAAGTAGAGGGGCTTGATCACATGCATCACCCCAGTCGATTGGCCAGAATGTTCTTGCCACCTGTCTCCAGAATGAGGTGCCGGAAGCCACGTGGCAGGGCTGTTTGGGTCCAGCCCTCTGCCTCCGGAATTCATGCTTCCTGTAGCTTGGTCAAGATCCACAGTGGTACCTGAGCTGGACTGAACAAATGCAGTATTGGAAAGGTGCTCCTAGTGGGTGGAGGTGGTGGGGAATGGGCTAGTCTGGGACCACAGGTCACTGTTTCTGATTATTGTAACTTACCCAGATGCGGCTGTAGTGGGGGCCTATAGCTTTGAAGGCATTTTAATGACTGGAGCTGGGTCTATTTCTGGCTTAGTGCCTGACTTGCTGCATGAGCCCAGACAAGTCATGTGCCCCCAGGTGTAAACTTCCCTGCCCATAAAAACATCCAAATCTCTCCCTCAAATTCGAACCCAGCCAGAACACTTTGGAGGATTTGAAGGCTTTGGTGCATTTTGTTTTTCGAGTCTTTGCTTTTGCTGTGTCTTTGTGTTCCCCATTTCTGGGAGCAGAGCAGCAATTGCACAGGAACTTGTTCTCTGGGGACTCTCAGCTCCGTGTCACCACCTTAGCAAGCTTGGATCAGCACTGGAATTGGCCAGTGGTTCTTCCTGGATTTTGGTTCTAGCCAGTTTCCTAAGGAACACCCACATCCCCAAGTTATGAATCGGTTACGGACCAAACACTTGGCCGTAACTCGAAATGTTCGTAAGTCGGATTCCATTGAGTTACATTGTGACTATGCTGTTCGTAAGCACAGGTCGCATTCGTAACTCGGGGACCGCCTTTACAACTGCTTAACGGGAGGTTTGGTCGTAAATGCGAACGGTTGTAAATCGACCGTTGATGACTTGGGGACCGGCTGTATCTGCATTGCATATCCCCTGCCTGTCAGTACTGATGGGAAGACTTTGTTCTGAGTGGGGCTCAGAGCTCTGTGACACCCTGGTTTGCTTGTTTCCTTCCAGCACTCCCTCTTTGCCTCTCAGGAAAAGTTCTTCCAGGACCTGTTTGACAGTGAGCTGGCGTCGCAGGCCACGGCGGAATTTGAGAAGGCCATGAAGGAGCTGGCTGAGGAAGAGCCCCACCTGGTAGAGCAGTTTCAGAAGCTGTCTGAGGCAGCGGGCAGAGTTGGTGAGGAGCAAATGTGGCGCTGTTACTCTTGGCATGGCATTGATTCCATAGGCACTGACTCCCAGAGTGCTCCAGGGCTGGAGCACCCATGGAAAAAAACCAAACAGTGGGTTCTCAGCACCCACTGGTAGGTCCCACCAATCAGCTCCTTCCCCTATCCCCAGGGCGTCCTGCCTGCCAATGGGCCTTGCTGATCAGGTCCAGTGTTTGTTTCCAGCAGTGGTTGGGATCAGCTGTATCAGAGGAAGGTACAAGAAACCCAGCAATGATGGAACATCCTGTCCCAGGAACAGTGAACTCCTGAGCTCAATAGGCAGTGGTTGGCTTGTGCAGGTGGTTAACAGCCCTTGCAAAATGTTTTAATATTTGCTAGTCTAACTGGATAAGCTCAAAAACCCCTTAAAACAACAAGGGTCCTGCAGCACCTTAAAGACTAACCAAAAATATAGTTAGATGGCATTGTGAGCTGTCTCACATCCACTTCTTCAGAGGATAAAATATGCACATTACTCATATAAAGTCTTATACTCTTTGATTCTTCCTAAGCTCTTGTCCTCAGTGATAGCCTGTGGAACTCAAAGCCACCAAGTATTCATGGCTCACATGGAAAAAGTTTCTTTTGATCAGTTTTGGATTTGCCAACTGTCAGTTTCATGGACTATGTAACCCAGCCCCATGATTTCTGTGAGTGAGAAGATCCCCTCTTTAAGTAGCTGCTTTCAGATGTCTCCTTTCATTGTGCGGACTCAGATTACTTAAGCATGCAATAAGGAATCTCTTTGAAACTGACGCTGAAGGTGTGTTTCTAATCCCATCTCCTGATCACGAATAGCACCAGGCGTGCAAGCTATTAAAATGGAGCATTAAATAAACCAAACCACCGTCACTTCCCTTAGTGATGTTGGCTGGCTGTCATGGCAGAGAGGGCCAGGAATAATTGTCATAGAAATCATGCAGTCATGGCAGAAGATACTTAGATGCACTTGGTTCACATGGAAGCCTTATGGAGCTGCTAAAAGCTTAGGGGAAAGCTACACTAGACAGCTTTTGCCCCTTTAATTTGGCTAGGTCTACACTAGAATCACTTTGCTGGTGCAGCTATGCTAGCATCACACTACTGGCAAAGTGCTCCTAGCATGGATGCTACTTTTCCTGGCAAACCTGTGCTTTTGATGCTGTAGCTTATTCCACTAGCAGCATGCTTTTCCAGGAGCAGCCCGAGGCCGGATGCAGCAGCTGGCGCCCCAGGCGGAAGGTGCGATCGCGCCCCCGCCTGCAGGGCTGTCAATGGCCATGACGTAATCATCGGGCACCCGGGCCAGCGGCGCCCTAGGCAACTGGCTAGTTTGCCTAGGCTCACGGGCCGCCCCTGCTTTTACCACACAGCTGTACCTACCTAGATGCTTTTACCCACACTGCTACATGGGTCACGAGAGAGAGAGAGAGAGAGAGAGAGAGAGAGACACATTATAACGTTTCAAGTGTCTATACCAGTACAACTTATTCCAGTTCTGGAAGCAAAATCAGCTGTCCTTGTATAAGAAGCCTTTGTGTAGGTATAATGGAGTCACACTGGGATTGTAGTGGTGTAACTGGAAGGGTAAAAAATCACCCCCCAACCAACACTGTTCTCCTAGTAAAAAAGTCCCAGAGGAGTAGCCATGTTAGTCTGTAACTTTAAAATCAATGAGAAATCCTGTGGCGCCTTAGAGACTAACAAGTGTATTAGGTCATGAGCTGTCCTGGGTAAGACTCGCTTTATAGATGAGTTGGAGTAAAAATTACAGAATCCAAGGTGTGTATAAACAGCAAAAGCAGTTACCTGCCAATTGTAGGACCAATGTTAATGAAGCTAATTAAGTCAGGATAGATGTGCCTCATTCACAGTATTTGATGTAGAGATGGGAATAGCAAAGATGGGGAAATTGTCTTTGTAGTGTGTTAGCCAGGTAAGAACTTTGTTCAAGCCAAAGTTGATCGTATTGAATTTGTAAATGAACTCCAGTTCAGCTGTCTCCCTCTGTAATCGGGTGATAAAGTTCTTTTGTTGAAGGATGGCAACTTTTAAATCCATTATTGAATGTCCAGGGAGGTTAAAATGTTTCTTGAATTCTGTAATTTCCACTCCAAGTCCTCTGATGAAGTGGATTTTACCAACAAATGCTCATGAGCTAATACATTTAGGTTAGTCTCTAAGGCTACATCCAGAGGTATCCCGCAAAAACCCTGCCGTGTCCAAGGAACGCGTTTGCTCTTCTGCTTTTTTTTGCGGAAGAGCAAACAAGTTCTTTCGGGGAGCCCTGTATATCTCGTTTCACGAGGCATAAGGGCTCCGCCAAAAGAGGAGGCTTTTCGGGGCCAAATGATGGAAAAGCCTCTTCCTCTCCCCCCCCTCCCCCGAAAAAAAAGGCAGAAAAAGCTACACAAAGCAAAGAGCGCATTTTGCGTAGTTTTTTCCGCACAAACACTACAGTCTAGACCTAGCCTAAGGTGCCACAGGACTGCTCGTTGTTCTACTGGTGTAACTTTTCTAGTGTAGACAAGCCCTTACAAGAGAGCAAAAAAACCCACTTGAGGAAAATCTTGTCTTTGAGCAAAGCTTCTTTTTACATCTGGGCTGTGGGCTCAGGTGCTGAGATGCATGGGCTGCTGGGGAGTTTGGGTTTCCTCTGTCCCTGACCCATTCCTGTTTCACATTGCTAATCCAAGGGTGGAAGAGAATTTACATAGAGGTGGGCATGGTGTCCACAGCATCAAGAAGCCTCTTGCCAGTAATTATCGGGGGCTCAAGGCTCCAACTCACTCCAGGCATGCAAGGAAAGCAGAGTTTGCCTTGCAGATCTGAGGGCATAGGGCTTTGCCCTCATTTCCATGGAGCAGCAAACATCTGCTCAGCAAGACACCCTACAGCTGCTCTGCACCATCCTAAGAATCTGGAGGGCAGAGTTCTCCCATGTCTGCCTTGGTCTGTGACCTGGGTAAGTTGTGTCCTCTCTCTGTGCCTGCAGAGTTAGGTGAGATAATCCTGAGGCACCTTGATGGGAGCACCCTGAGATCTGTGGATTTAGAAGAGCAGCAGACACATCGTAGTGTTGTTATGGAGTAGCCCAGGTCCACAGTCCCATCCCTGCTGTTGGAAATGCTGTTTGTCGCTTACATAGCTGGGATGGTGTTCTGAGCCTCTGTTTGTCAGAGGGTGGGAATGGGTGACGGGAGGGATCACTTGATGATTCCCAGTTCTATTCACTCCCTCTGAGGCCCCTGGCATTGGCCACTGTTGGAAGACAGGATCCTGGGCTAGATGGACCTTTGAGCTGACCCAGTGTGGTCATTCTTATGTTCATAGAAGTGCCAGTAACTTAGGGTGTGTCTAGACTACAGGGGTTTGTCGACGAAAGTCCACTTTTGTCGACAAAACTATACCTGCATCTACACCGCCACTGAGTTCTGTCGACAGAACGTTGACAGAACTCAGCAGTTTTGTCAACGGCTGTAAACCTCGTTCTACGAGGAATAACGCCTTTTGTTGACAGTTCTGTCGACAGAAGGCGTTATTGCATCTGCACTGTCCTTTGCATCTACACTCTCATGTCGACAAAGCGGCTTGCTTTGTCAAAAGAACTGGATGTCGTCTAGACACTCTTTGTCGACAGAAGTTTTGTCGACAGTATCTGTTGACAAAACTTCTGTCGACAAAAACCTGTAGTCTAGACGTACCCTTAAAGCCATAATGTAACCTGCTTAATAACACGGCTATTTGCCTGATCTATCATCTCGCCCTTGGTCTCTGCAGGAAGTGACACGACGTCCCAACAAGAGTTCACCTCCTGTCTGAAAGAGACGCTCAGCGGCTTGGCCAAGAATGCCAACGACTTGCAGGTAAAGCATCCGCTCAGGCATTTTCTGAGGTTCCCAGAGCCTCTGCCCATTCTGACCCAATCCAGGTGAGGTGACTCTGACTTCTCTGGGGCTGAGATCCGGAAGGGAAATAGCTTGAAAGATGCCAGAGGAGGAAGCAGCAGGTTGCAGAGGTGTTTGGGGGCATGACAGTCTGGCTTCTGCATCATGGGAGACCATCCGCTTGTAGTGATGGTGGCACAGTAGGGGGCGCTTCTCCTTCCACCAGAGACCTTCTCTGCCTATTCTTTCTGGCCCCCATGATGTGGTGGATGCAAATCTCATTTGCGGGGTTTGGTTTCCCTCCCCAGAACTCCAACATGTCGGAGGAAGAGCTGGCGAAAGCCATGGAAGGCCTGGGCCTAGAAGAGGGCGACAGTGAGGGGAATATCTTGCCCATCATGCAAAGCATCATGCAGAATCTCCTGTCCAAGGATGTCCTCTACCCCTCCCTCAAAGAGATCACGGAAAAAGTAAGCGGCTTGGAGCTGGCGGAGTGGTGCAATCCTCCCCCGGCCTCGAGGGTCACCGTATCCCCATGTCCTTTGCTCCTAGTACCCAGAGTGGCTGCGCAGCCACCGTGACACCCTGCCTGAAGAGCAGTTCGAGAAGTACCAGGAGCAGCACAGCATCATGGGTAAAATCTGCCAGCAGTTTGAGGCTGAGCAGGCTACGGACAGTGACGCTGAGCAGAAAGCTCGCTTCGAAATGGTGTTGGATCTCATGCAGCAGGTGAGCAGCTGTGTTCTGGTAGAACGCACCTCTGGGGGTCTGCACGCCCTGTCCAGCCATGGGCTCTGCTGAGGGGTCTCAGTCCTGCCATGTCATTATGGATGGTGGCTCTCGAGAGCATCAGTCCGCTAGGAACCAGACTAGGAGCCTGGACTCGCATCACTCAGGCCACAGAAATACAAGCCAGCTCACTCCTGACCTCTGCTGGGCCTGAGGGGTGAGATTTTTCCTGAGCCATCCCCTCGCCAGAGCTGAGCTCTGCAGCTAGACACAGTTGCATGGAACAACTCCCCTTAATGCTGTTATCTCTCTTCCAGCTCCAGGACCTGGGCCACCCTCCCAAGGAGCTGGCCGGAGAATCGGTGAGTGCTCCTCCTATAGATGCTGCCTGATCCCAGCCCTGGGCTCTGCACCCTTATCTCCCACTGCAGCTGAGTGAGAGTTCAGGGCATCTGCATCTGGAGGTGGGCCCTAGTCTCAGCCATTCAGGGGGATGGTAGAGCTGTGAGGTGGTCCAGGACCTGGTCTCTAGCTTCTCCCCCATTCTTCTTTCTATTGGCTAGTACAGGGGTGGCCAACCAGTTAGACACTAAGAGCCAAAAGAGCTGTGGATAGTGGTGCAAGGAGCCACAGGTCCCTCCCCCAGAGCCAGGCAACCCTAGCCCCTCCTCCTCCAACTCTAACCCAGTGCCCTCCCCCTCGCACCCCCAGACCCCCTGACTCTAACCCAATGCCTCCCCCTTCTCCAGAGCCAGGCACCCCCAGCCCCTCCCACTCTAACCCAATGCCCTCCCCCAGGCTCCCTGACTCTAACCCAATGCCTCCCCCTTCCCTTAGTGCCAGGTACCCCCAGGTCCCTCCCATTCTAATCCAATGCCTGGGTCCCACCGGAGCTGCTACCACCACAGCCATGCACTTCTCCCTCTAGGCACTGGGGCACATGTACAAAGCGGGCATGCGGCTCTGAACAAGCCATAACCCTGAGAGCCACATTTCTGTGAGCAAAGAGCCGCATGCAGCTCAAGAGCCACAGGTTGGCCACCCCTGGGTTAGTATCTAGCAACAAAAGGCAGCACCCCCTAGCTACTGACTGGCCAGTGCTGAGTGTCATTGGGCTGGTGGGGACATGGAAGGGCTGACTGTCCTGATGGGATCAAGCAGTGTCTTGATGGGATACAGGAAACCTGGTGGCTGCATCTTCCCAGCAGGGACACTCCCTCGTGGCTAGAATCCAGATTCAGTTCTGTGCTCTGGTTTGACTCCTGGCTCGAACACCAATGTGCTGTGACCGTGAGCAGTCACTTCTGTGGCTCCTGTCTCCAGTGTAAAACGGGGGTGATGCTGGTCTTGAGCAAAAGGGACATGGGAGGCCTCGTTAAGGTCTGACGGGCTTTGAGCAGCAGCTACTGGGTCTGATTGACACTTCTGGGGTCATCTGCTCTACTGACCTGCAATGGCCTAATTAGCCAGGTGTGACTCCCCTTCATTTAGTGGTGTTGACTCCCACCTGGCCTGTTCCAGCCAAGGGAAAGGAGAAGATGGGTCTGCCCAGGAGAACAGTGAAACAGGATTTTGCAAGGAAAAATCTCCTAGAGCAAATCCCTTGGGAGCTGCTTGACTGTGTCCCCTACTTAGATATGTGCCTTGGGCGGGCAGGGTGACTGGCTGGGGATGGTTCAGTGGTTAGAGTACTAGGCTTTGATGTGGGAGAGCCAGGTTCAATTCCCTGCTCCACCTCTAGATCCTTTCTGTCAGCTTCAGTGAGATGCCCCACAACTATGCCTCAGTTGCTGGGAAGGCAGGAATAATACTTCCCTGTCTGGTGGCTAGGGGCTTTGAGATCTACTCGTGAGCTAAGTGTTTATTATTTCTTGTTGGGATGCCATGCTGGGCCAGCACTGACCTGGGCTTGCTTCGCTGAGCTGGAAACGGCTCCAGGGGCCTAGATTGCACTCAGTGTTTGCTTTCTGCTTCTCCCTGCAGCCGGCGTATTGTTCCTGACCATACCGCTCTGCTGCCTTGCCGCCACTGTGTCTGTGCATTGGCACGCCTCTCCCAGGGCCCTGGGGCACGTCCCTTTCCAAGGCTCTGCATTATGGGGTTACGGGTGGCTGATTTAGGGCCACTGCAGAGTTTGTGGCTTGCTCCCCACACTGGGGAGAATCCATTATAGCCAAGGCTGGCCTTGCAGCTGGTGTCTGGGACACGCCTGGGGTGTACGCGAGGGGTTACGAACATGGCTCCCTTGCCAGTGCTGGATCTTTGCAGTGCTCCCAGTGTCTCTGCACTGGGCATGTTGGGCCATTCTCCTGCTGTTGGTCTGGCACCCACATGGTCCCTCAGTGTCTAGTTCAGAGTGATCGCTCTGCCCTTTCCATGCCGTTGTCACTGCCGGCTGGTAGACCCATCAGCAGCCGGTCTGCGCGTGCACACTCACCACTGCCAGCGCTGGCACTAGCCCAGTGGTGGGAGAGGCCTGGAACATCCGTGGAGCAGAGGAGCCAGTGTCCGGCCCCACTGCAGCGTTCTCAAGACTCATGCCCCTGGAAAGGGTGTGCCTGCATACAAGCTGTAGGGCTTTACCTGTCCTGGTTTGATTAGCCATGTGACCCTTGTAGAGCAGCCGCAGCGAGATCCACATAACAGTGCTTGTGCCCTGGAGGGAAGGGGAATAACTCTTCCAGTGGAAGGCACCTCGAGACTGGTCGTCCCCACTAGCAGCAGATCTGGTGTCACTATATTTGTAAAATCCCACACATCTGACTGGTAGCATTACTCTGGTATTGTCCTGGTTTGATTAGCCATGTGACCCTTGTAGAGCAGCCGCAGCGAGATCCACATAACAGTGCTTGTGCCCTGGAGGGAAGGGGAATAACTCTTCCAGTGGAAGGCACCTCGAGACTGGTCGTCCCCACTAGCAGCAGATCTGGTGTCACTATATTTGTAAAATCCCACACATCTGACTGGTAGCATTACTCTGGTATGAAAGGTGTCTAGACCGGGCCATCACCTGGCAGCTTGGAACCGCCCTGCTCCCCTGCTCTCTATCTGT